TCCTGAGGGATATCTGCATATCTGGTTGACATTACGTTTTTATCTATATAATATATGCATATTTTCACTCAAGGCATGAAAATAGTATTTTTTCCTATTTGTGGCAAAAGACCCACTCTTCTTCATTTTCTGCAGTGGATATCTGATTTTTTTCTCCTTAAAGATCATGTTCTAAATTGCATTGAACACTATCATCCAGCTGATTCTGAACCACATCACCCTCTTGTTATACTTTTCTATATGCTATAATTTACTGCAACCCTTGAGAGGATGCCCTAGTAAGAAAAGAAATGTATTGTGTAAAAGGGAAATGCCGAAAAAGAAGAAGCAAATGAGAAGACAAAGTTCTCATATGAACACTCTCCATCAATTTAAACTGTAATGCCCCCTCATCCGTTTTGTTTGCTGACGATCTCATTAAAGTATGCAATGTGTTTCTTTAATGCTGACGTACTATTTAATTTTCTCTTTTTCTTCAGCAGAGGTTTATCTATTAGCTAACATATTCCTGTGCAAAATAAATAATGTCTTCTACAAAAGGAAAACAAATATGCAAACCTGTCTATATCATATTTCAAATAACTGTAAAACCCCTGGAGACAGGGGACTCAAGATATTTGCAGTTAACTTACTATTTGAGCTTCAAATCTTTCAACATTGGTCAAAATGGTTGGGAAATATATTAGTGAGCATATTCCCTAAATCTGACTCACTTGAATCAGGCTACATTCAGACCTTTAACTATTTGTCTTCCTGAGTACTTTCGAGAGATGTTAGTAAGTCTAATCAACTTTCCTTTGGAAAAATTAATAGAAGCTATACAATTGACGTAGCTCAGATTGCATGGCTTATTTCAGCTTTAACCCTGCTGTGTATACTTGCCCTAACAGATTTAACAGTTGAGAGGTATTAGCATACCATGTGACCAATCACATAGCTAGGCCACCACATGTTGATTAGTGGATATGCTAACGAGGACTTACTGCAATATAATTTGTGAAAAATTCAAAAGCTCAAATATGTTAATAAATGCTTTTTGTTAAATATTTACAGACAATTTCTAGGGAATCACAGTCTGTTAAAAATTCAAGAACAGCAAAAAGGGGGAAAACAGAATTAATCTTAAATTATGGATTGCAATTAAGCTTAATTATTAATTTTTGGTGACTGTGTTTAGGTACAGTTCTTGCCATAGGAGTTCTCATCTCCATTCTGCTACAACTGATCTCAATGGGAGGTTTTGATTTGTTTTTGCCATTTGCTTGATGCTATTTGTCATTTGGAATGATTGGGCCCCATAGGCCAGATTGTGAGAGGCTCTTGGACTAGAGTTGCCAGCTCTGATTGAAACTATTCCAGGAGATTTTTTTCCTAACATGTCATAATATCATTTTCTTAAAATAGCCTACTAAAATCATCAGGGTTGATTTCAATAGTCACAGGGAGATTGATGCTGATTCTGAGAGATTCCAGGACAATCATTTGGGTTGGCAACCCTACCTTTGATATGTACATAATGGAGAAAGTTGTGCAGGAACCTTTTCTTCTTTTCTGTGGCTGTGCACTCAACTGTTACAATATTACTCTCTTCATGCCTTATGCTTTGGGGAGTGCAGAAGCTCTCATTCATGATCCTCCACCCAAGAAGCAGAATGCCAAAAAGGGGTTAGGACAAAATAGGGGAGGAAAGCTTTTTGCCTTGCCCAGAGATCTCTCCTTTGAACCAAACAGACAGTGCACTTCGCACAACCTCAGGTGAAATCGATTAGAGCCTACATCTCCTTGAAGAACAATGGCACAAATGCTGCAATTTAGCCCTGCAGGTTAGAACTCCCTGTTCCGGCACCATTGGGACCTGACTGGTCCCGAATGAGAGAATTTGCTGGACAAGGGAAGGTCTCCTGCCATCAGCTCCTAAGCCCATCGCCTAGGAAGGCATCTTGCTTCACCCTCGCCCACCCCGAACCTGGCTGGACTACTTGCCAAGCTGCTGCCAGCTTCCTGAGCAAAAAAGTCTCTGGTTCCTTCCATGGGGCTCCAGCCCTGCACATCTGGAGACAGCCGTGGAGCTCCAGCCCCAGCCCTGTGCTCCCCGGGTCTGCTGTGGGGCTCCTGGCGGCCCTGCACTCCAACTGCAGCCCCGAGCTCCAGGGGACCGCTGCGAGGCTCCAGCCCTGTGCCAGCCTGTGCTGCCAGAGACTTTGGCCTAGCCCCGTGCTGCCGTAGAAGCTATCACGGGACTCTGGCTCCGGTCTCATGCTGCTCCCAGCCAGGCTGCTTACTTTATTGCCCCGGCTGGCTCTCCTGCCCTTAGGCTACCAGCTCTCTGTTCCAGGAGCGTCCATGGTCCTGTCAGATGACAGGTGTTGCAAGACTGGAGAATGCTGGTTTTTGGAGGTACAACCTGGATATATTTGTGGGAGCATGCTATCCTACATAGAATGGTTGTGCCTTAAAAGCTTTGTAAGTTTCCTTCTGTATCATCTCTGTTACTATGTGAGGCTATAAGGGGGAGGCAGTATCTCCTCCATATCGAAAGCTGATTTCAATTCCTCCTTGTATCTGAAGAATAATTTTTTTTAAAGTCCGTGTATTTCAGATATTTAGTGCTATTCAAGCATTAGTTCTGATCATGTTGAAAAATGGAATAAGCAGTGTAAAGAATTAAAATACTCCAAAATGCTCCTTTTCAAAATTTCAAAAGTGTCTAATGTTTCTTTGTATTCTTTTATCAGAATCACATTCTAGCCCCATCACTCAGAGCATAGGTACTGGTGAACCACTGGAAGCTTTATTGACATTTTCTAATCCAAGTACAGAATTTAAGCATCATGACTATAAAAGCTATATAGACATGGAGAGATTAGATAAGATATTGACAGTGACCTTTGTAACAAGGGAAGAAATGGTAAAATATGTAAGACCCTGTCATTATTAGATGATACAAAAAAAAAAAAAGCTAATGGAAATATACCCAATGTAGCCATCAACAAATGTCCTGATACAAAGCCCATTAAAACCAATGAAGAGATTTCCACTGACTTCAGTGGGTATTGAATCAGTCCCTCAATGGACAAAACAAAGATTTTGGAATGAAATTTTGCTTATTTATCTGTAGAAATACTGCCAAACACTGATACAAAGAATCATTATAATGTAGGGCTGAAAGAGGACTTGACAAGTCATCAAGTCCAGCCCCTGGCACCGTGGCAGGATCAAGTAAACCTAATTTTCGGGTTTGCCCAACTTGTTTTTAAAAGCTTCTAGTAATAAGAACTCCATGAACCTCTCTTGTAGTTCTATTGCAGAGCTTAACTACCCTCATAGTTAGAACGTTTTTTTTAAAATATCTTACTTAAATCTCCCTTACTGCAGATTATGTCCTTTCTATATCTTTATTTGCCTCTTTTTGAAAGTAATTGTAAAGAAGATTTCACAAATAATTTGTGCCAAAACAGACAGATTTGGAGGCTGGCTGGAAGAGCAAATGTGTTTCATTTGACAAAGTGTGGGTACATTTTATTACGTAATTTGGAAGATGAAAGCTGGCATCTGTACAAGAATGGAAATTGCTTGGCATGCTGTGTCGTATTTTCTTTAATCATTCTCATAGTACCTAGTTCCATTTTAATTCTCCTCCCCTAAAAAGTGGATTCTGGTTATCCACACTCTGTAGGTCAGTTTTTAATGAGTTTGGTATTTCAATTAACAGGAAAGAAATGAAGATGAAATTGCACATGTCATGTTCTTGGGTACATAATTGATATCTCTACTATATACATTCCATAATAAACTATATTATTTTAATACAGGCCTATGAACTGACAGATGCTTATAAGCAAAGAAGTTGAAAGTGCGCATTCCCTTATCCTAAACATTTTTGTTTCCTGATATTCAGCTACAGAACACACAAGAGATCATTACATGCATGTTGTTTCACATGACAGTTATGTACTTTACAGGGAAAACAAACACATGCACCAGACACTTATACAGGGAAATTACTTCTGTTTAAGAATTTCACCTCTAGTAGGCTGAAAATCTGCACAGCTGAAACTGTGAAATCACTAGAAATCACTGATATAAGTACAGTTTCTTCACTTAGGTTCAAATACTCTCCTGTGCAGACAGGTTCCCTCTAAGGTGCATGCCTGCACAGGCACGCACCAAGAATTTTACTCCTGTGCACCTTCTTAGCAGAGCCAAGGAGAGGCTGCTCAGCTGTTCCGGGGCAGGGCCACGTGGTGGGTGACTGCCCCACCCCAGGAACAGCTGGGCAGCCACCACACGGCATTGGCCCTAGCTTCAGCCCTTTCCCAGGGCTGGAGTTGTGGCCAGAGTGGGTTGGGGGGCAGCTGCCAAATCAGGAGCCTGGGCCGCAGTACTAAAAATAGCACCATGGCCCTGGCTCCAGTCCTGGCACATGGGGCAACTGTCCGCCATATGGCCACGACCAATGTGCTTGGACTGGAGCTGGGCTGCAGTTCTATTCTTTGTACTGCGGTCAGGGCCCCAGAAGCCACCATGCAGCTCTCTGCCCCAACTGTTCTCAGTACTACTATTTTTAATACAACAGGCTCAGCCCTAGAAGCCTAACAAAAATTAGTTTTTTTTAATCTGATTTAATTAATTCAAGCATTTTTGTAACTAGTGTTTATTTGAAACAATTGTGCTTATCGCATTCATAATGCAAAATACAGACTTATTGAACTAGAGGCCTTGCAACTAAGAACATGGAGTTAGTGATCAGACAGCAGTTGTCTGTAGCTTAGAACCACCAGGGTAAATGGTTGCATAATGTATACAAATATTACTCGATATCTATTTTAAATAAAAGAGGATCATGGAAGTTCTTGCCCTACAAGGGCCTTTATCAGTTCTTGTTTTTATATACAGGCAGTCCCCGACTTACGTGGATCCGACTTACGTCGGATCCCTAGATACGAATGGGGTGAGGCAACTCCCGCACATGCGCAGCAGCATTCCCGGGGCTCGCTCACCTGGGTCCTAGGATCCTCCTCCTCCTCGGGCCGGCTCCGACTGGGGTCCCGCAGAGCTGCCGGGCAGAGGAAAAGTGCCTCCCCACGCCCGCTGCCTCCCCCACCCCCCTGCCAGCAACAGGCTGCTCCTCCCCTGAGCAACAGGCTTCCGGACAGACAAAAAAAGCCTCTCTGCCTGCCGGGCAGAGAAAAAGTCCCCCCCCCTGCCAGCAACAGGCTGCCCCCTCCCCTGAGCAACAGGCTGCTGAACAGACAAAAGCAGCCTCTCTGCCCCTCCTCCCCTCTATACATGCCGGGCTCCCGGAGCGCAGCAGCGTCCCCGGGGCTCGCTCACCTGGGTCCTAGAATCCACCTCCTCCTCCTCTTCGGCCGGCTCCAACTGGCCTCTGCCTGCAGCAGCTGGCCACAGGGACAGGGATCCTGCAGAGCTGCCGGGCAGAGGAAAAGTGCCTCCCCACGCCCGCTGCCCCCTCCCCTGAGCAACAGGCTGCCGAACAGCAGACAAAAGCAGCCTCTCCGCCCCTCCTCCCCCTATACATGCTGGGCTCCCTGGGCAAACAAAGACTCCACCAAAACAAACAAAGTGCTGGCCTCATTGTGTTAGCAAAAAAGGACCCTCCTCCTAGAACCCTGGGTGGTGTGTGGAAATAAAGCTATTAGCTCAAAGCATGGTGCAGAGCTGTTTGGTATTTGATGAGTTACTCCTTTAGTCCTGAGTTTGTCACAGGGACAGAAATAGATGTGAAATCTTCTGAACAGGGGAACAGACAGCAAAACAAACATTAGAGGGGAGTTAACCTTTCCCTATGCTATCCAAAACTAAAAAAAATGTTTGGCTAGAGTTTCTCCTACAATATGTACCAGTTCCGACTTACATACAAATTCAACTTAAGAACAAACCTACAGTCCCTATCTTGTACGTAACCCGGGGACTGCCTGTATACAAAAAGGCAGGCAAAATACATTTCTCTAAATACTTTGAATGTGTTGTCAGAGGACATAAAATAAAGTAAATATTATAACGCACCACTCTTTTTAGTTAAAAAATTTACTTTAAAATGATTTATTTAAATTACAGCTTTAAGAACCAGATCCAAAGTCCAGTGAAGTTAATAGAAAGATTCTCATTACCTTCAAAGAGGTTCAGAACAAAGGCCTTAAAATGTCCTTTGTTTTCATGTCTGCTTGCTTTTTTTTATTTAGAACTGAAAGAAATTCATTAAACCCATCCAGAGTGTGCTTAAACTTTACACAAATGCCTTTGATAATTCCTCTATGCAAATACACAATTCTTTATCTTGAGGAAAGATAAGAACTCATGTAGTTGAGTTGATCACTTGAAATAATACAATCAAGTACCTGTGCACTCTGGCGTAAAGTGAACAATATTATTTGTCACCTTTCTTATACATTATTTTTATTAATAGACATTCAAGCTTTGAAGAATGCTTATGAGCGGATCACATCAGACAATTAAGGGAAATCTGCACTAGATTTATCAGAGTTTTAGCTCTCATATATATGTTGTATGTGCAGAACAAGCATTCCATATACAGTAGACTTCCAATAATCTGGAACCTTTGGGACCTAGGTGGTGCCAGATTATCGGATATGCCAGACTATCAGGAGGTACTATAAACTGGGTATGTATATATATATATATACTGTGTACGGTACATACAGTATATAAAGCATTTTTAACCTTTTTTATTGTACATACTGTATACAGTATACTGTAATGTTTTAGTTTTTTTAATCCTTTTTTACCCTTTTCGCTCTGTTCAGCTGCTACCGCTGCTGCCTTGTGACTCATTTTTTGCCGAAGCTCACTCACTAGGCTCTTGCCATTTTGATACTGGACTATTGGAGTTTTACTGTAACTACTTTTTCTAAGTTGGTTATTTATCTGTACTAAAAAGAACTGTCTAAAATTATACTGGATTGACTTAATCTCTGATCCAAAATAAAATATAGCCCTTAAACACAATGTGAGTGGGTAGAAATATTCAATACAAATATTCAAGAAAAAAAAAAGATAAAATACATTTTAAGCTGTTTGTCACATGGAATCTGAATTTGGAGCTCTCAACTTCCTTTAACAAAACATTTTGTACTTTCCTATATTTATAATTTTTTATACACTGAAAGAGCCAGCTAAGTCTAATGAAAGTAGCTGAAGGCATATTCATTTTAGCTAACCTGTCATACCTCAAAGGGTACGTCTAGACTACAGGATTTTGTCAACAGATACGGTCGACAAAGCTTCTGTCGACAAAGAGCATCTAGACTACATTCAGTTCTGTCGACAAAGCAAGCTGCTTTGTCGACAAAACCCTGTAGTCTAGACACAACCCTACATGCAATAACACTTTCTGTCGACAGAACTCTGTCGACAGAAGGCGTTATGCCTCGTAAAATGAGGTTTACCAGCGTTGACAAAACTACTGAGTTCTGTCGACGTTATGGCGACAGAACTCAGCGGTAGTGTAAATGCAGGTATAGTTTTGTCGACAAAAGTCCACTTTTGTCGACAAAACTCTGTAGTCTAGACACACCCAAAGTTTAATGTGGAAGAGTTAACAACAAGACAAACCTGGTGTTTTAGAGCTGCAATGGTCTCTCTCCCTTCAGCAGCAAAATGTCTGAAATCTTGAGTAAATCCACTGGATAGTATGTCAATTGGATGTGTTGCAATTGCTGCATTTCTATGTCTGCTCAAATTTCCCAGGTGTCTGAAATATAAGTTAAATTTAACACCAGAAAATGAAAAATAACAATCTGAAGAAAAGATTTCACATGGGAATTTTAGGATTTATGCTGAAAATTAACTCAACGTTGGGAAAACATCATCTGAAATGTCATTGTGCTTTTGATATTTTCTTTCTCTTGAGTTGAAAACTTTTTTGAAATATAAAATGAATGCCATTTTACATTACAGATACATTTACTGCATTAGTCAGAGCTCAAAAGAATATTTTTTCTAAAAAGCTTCCCCAGGTCCTACACACTGAAACACCTTGACAGATCAAATGTCACATATTATGCAACACAAAGGTATGTAAGATACTACCTGCATTATGTATTCATGCCAAGAACTATGTTAAGAAAGCAGTAAGCTTAGCCATCAAAAAAAATCACACCTCTAAAACAAAACAAGAGTAATGTAAGCCAATCCTAGTGAATACAATGACAATAAAAGGGGGGAAAAGGGTAAGTTAGGGCCTGTCTTCTCTATTATACTGAATTGGCACCTCCATCAGTAGCCACATCTGATGGAGACACATTTTTTGCTGACAGAGCACTACCCCATCAACATAATGGCTTCACCTTTATGAGAGACAGAAGCTATGTCAAAGGGAGAGCATCTCCCACCAAAATGGTGTGGTGTAGACACCATTTTAAGTCAATATGAGTTACATTGCTCAGAGAGGTGGGTTTTTCCTCACACCATGGCTGACATAACATACATCGACTTAAGCAGAAGAATGGACATGGCATTTGTCTACGTCTGAGGAAACTTCAGGAAACAGCTTGAAAGACATGACACTGTGGCAAACAAGAAACCACTTATGGCACAGTAAGGAAATTTATAATATCTCTGGATCTGGTTACAATGTGGGCACTTCATACCCTATACCACGATATTCTGTGCGCCAAATTTCATAGTGACCTATGTGGCTGCACGTATTGCCTATTGGCAGGACAGGGCTGGGAAGAGGAAGTAATAATCAGGTGCTCCTCTGGGCTATTTTTCTTTTGTGGGACAGATCTGTTACCTCCCCATCTTTACATAAGAACATAAGAATGGCCATACTGGCTCAGACCAAAAGTCTATCCAGCCCACTACCCTGTCTGCTGTCAGTGGCCAATACCAGGTGTCCCAGAGGGAGTGAATCAAACAGGTAATGATCAAGTGATCTCTCTCCTGCCGTCCATTTCCACCCTCTGATAAACAGAGGCAAGGGACACAATTCCTTACCCATAATGATAAATAGCCATTTATTAACTTAACCTCCATTAATTTATCTAGCTCTCTTTTAAACCCTGTTATAGTCCTAGCCTTCACAACCTCCTAAGGCAAGGAGTTCCACAGATTGACTATGCACTGTGTGAAGAACTTCCTTTTATTTGTTTTAAACCTGCTGCCCATTAGTTTCATTTGGTGGCCTCTAGAATTTATATTGTGGGAACAAGTAAATAACTTTCCACGATGACTTCAAGATCTCTTTCCTGATTAGTTGTAGCTAAATTAACCCCCATCATATTATATGTATAAAATGGAATTAGGAGTAACAGTTAATCCAAACTAAGGACTTAGTTTGGATTAACTTTAAACTGCTGCATGTAGCCACGGGCAGTTCGTTCAAACTAAGGGGGATTTAAAAATGGCAGCTGGACGGGAACATGCAAATAAAGCCCAGGATATTTAAATCCCAGGCTTCATTTGCAACTCCGGTTGCCTGATTTGCCTACCTAGCTCAAATTAACGAGCTATTGTAGTCATACCCTAAGTTTGGTGAGTTCTTTTTGAAGTTCTCCACAGTCTGCTTTGGTTTTAACTACCTTGAGCAGTTTAGTATCGTCTGCAAACTTTGCCACCTCACTGTTTACCTCTTCCTCCAGGTCATTTATGAATAAGTTGAATAGGATTGGTCCTGGGACTGACTCTTGGGGAAACATCTCTCCATTCTGAAAATTTACCATTTATTCCTACACTTTGTTTCCTGTCTTTTAACCAGTTCTAAATCCATGAAAGGATCTTCGCTCTTATCCCACGACAACTTAATTTACGTAAGAGCCTTTGGTGAGGGAACTTGTCAAAGGCTTTCTGGAAATCTAAGTACATTATATCTACTGGATCCCCCTTGTCCATGTGTTTGTTGACCCCTTTAAAGAACTCTAATATATTAGTAACACATGATTTCCCTTTACAGAAACCATGTCGACTTTTGCCCAACAAATTATGTTCTTCTATGTGTCTAACAATTGTATTCTTTACTATTGTTTCAACTAATTTGCCCGGTACTAACGTTAGACTTACTGGTCTGTAATTGCCAGGATCACCTC